CTTCCCTCTCTTCCTCTCTCTCTCTCTCTCTCTTCTCTCTCTTCTCTCTCTTCTCTCTCTCTCTCTCTCTCTCCCCTCCTCCCTCTCCCTCTCCCTCTCCCTCCCCCTCTCCCTTCTCCCTCCCTCCCTTCTCCCCTCCCCCCTCCCCTCTCTCCTCCTCCCTTCTCTCTCTCTCTTCTCTCCTCTCTCTCTCCTCTCTCCTCTCTCTCTCTCTCTCTCTCTCTTCTCTCTTCTCTCTCTCTTCCTCTCTTCCTCTCTCTTCCCTCTTCTCCCCCTCTCCCTCTCCCCTCTCCCTTCTCCCTTCTCCCTCTCCCTCTCCCTCTCCCTTTTCTCCCTCTCTCTCTCGCCCCTCTCTCGTCCGCACTTGCACTTATATAAGGTGACTTTGCTTATGTATGCGCAACATTCTGGCCATGAGACGAGGGAGGACAATTTTTACTTAATCTGTCTTTAAAATGGCTTGTTTAGCGCCTCGGTTTACATTCATCAAGGCCGTGTTCTCGGTTTTGAAGTGAATTACCCTCGTTTCTCCTTACGCGGTTGGAGTGTGGATTTGCATGTACACATAAACAGACTCCTTGCCGCGCGCCACAACATTCTTTTTCGGGCCGAGCGAAGGGCGGGGGGCGGGGGGCGCGAGTGTCTGACAGAGGAAGTCTAGGAAAGCAACTCTCTTCCTTCGCCTCCTCTCTTTCTCTCCTCCTCCTCCTCTTCCTTTTCTTCGCCTTCTTTCTTCCTACTTCTTTTTCTTCGTCCTCTTTTCCTCCTCCTCCTTTTTCTTCGCTCTCCTTCTTCCTCCTCCTTTTTTCTTGGTTCGCCTCCCTCCTCCTTCTCTTTTCTTCCGCCCTCCCTCTTCTCCTCCTCCTTTTCTTCGCCTCTTTCCTCCTCCTCCTTTTCTCTTCTTCGCCTCCTTCCCTCCTTCTCCTCCTTCCTCTTCTTCGCCCTCCTTCCTCCTCCTCTTCCTCCTTCTTCGCCTCCTTCCTCCTCCTCTTCCTCTTCTTCGCCTTCTCCCTCCTCCTCCTCCTTTTCTCCGCCTCCTTTCTAAATATAGAATTAGTGTGCGCACTTGATTAATGATGACCAGAGGACAGATTAAAAAGAATAACCAATAAGCGTCGGTTCCGTGTACATTTTGTCCTGTCCGTTGATTCCGTCGTGGTTCGGGCTGTCTGGGTCGTTCTGGTGTTGGATAGAGTGTGATTGGCTGTTGGTGGTGCCGTCTTCTCTGGTCGTCTGTCTGATCGTCTCGTCGTGTGTCTGCGTTTGTGTGTATGTGTCTTCGTTCGTTTCGTCTTGTCTCGTGTGTGTGCTTTGCGTTCTGCTTTCTGTATTGTCTTGCTAGTCTTCTTTCGCTTTTTGCCTGCTTCTCTGTCTGTGGCTTGGCATGGTTCGGTGCCTGGTGTGGGTGGGTCTCTCTCTGTCGTTGTCTGCTATTATTTGGTCTTGCCTGGTGGTGTGGGTCGTCTTGTGTCTGTGTTCTCTCTCGTTCTCCTTCTATCGTCGTTCTTTTTATTGGTCTTCTTGTTCGTGAGTTTTCGGTCTTTTCAGCAGGAATATCCGAAGTTGTCCGAAAGAACGTTATTAAACCCAATAATACATTTCTGTTTAATGCGTTGTTTGCGGAAGAACACGGTGTTGTACCAAACACTACACAGTAATTATTGATTGGAGATATGATGATTTTTTGCAGTTATTTAGGGGGGCGGGGGTGTTGTTTACTCGCGTAACTCAACGGTAATCGCCCGAAATATACAAGTTTGTTATTCACTTCCTCGGAAGGGGTAACCCATGATGGCGGGTTTTAGGTTTCCGCCGTTGAAAAAATTTATTGCGCGTGAGTTAATTTTTTTTCCTTGTCCTTGCTGTTTTCTTTTTAAGATTGTACTATGAAGTATTTATTATCGGTGCGAATGTCATACGAGTTCACGTGCATGTCCAAAATAGCCGCCGCGATTAGGAAGGCAATTTCTTTTCAAAAGATAAAGGAAAACACTGACTCACTATGCTTACTGCCGGGCGTCTTTTTGACCTCTGCCTTTTTTCCCGCCCAATTTAACAAGATGGCGAGTGTTAAACCGACCCTGTTATCGCGTCCAAATAAAAGACGCTTGTTGTCTAATCAAACTTACCCTCCCCTGGCACCCTCCCTCCTTCGATCCTATAATTATAACGTCTACTAATGTAACATTAAATTTGCTTATGTTGTGTAGCGAAAAATGTTGATTATATTTAGTCTAAATGTCTTGTCTGTTCTCGCATCCCTCCGCCCAAGCCCCCCCCCTCCCCTTCCCATCCTCTTTCTTTCTCTTCTCTCCTCTCCCTCCTCTTCCCTTATTCCCCTACTCTCTACTTTCCCTCCCCCCTCGTCTTTCTTGCCTCATCTATCTCCCCATCTCCATCCCCACCCTCCCCTTCTCTAGTCTTGAGTTGAGTCATGTACCGCTGTTTTCTGCAGCCTGCATTGTAGAAGAATCGTAAGTGGTGCGATAGATGAGGGAGGGGTTTGGAAAGAAGAGGGTAAGAGTAATTCAGAGGTTTTCGCCTTCCTCACTTATCAACATACACACACCACTCTTTTTTCTTTCCCTCCTGTCCTCCTCCTCTATCTATCCTATCATTCTCTCTCTTCATCTCCCTCCTCTTCCCTCCCCCCCTCTTCTCATTTCTCTCTCCTCTCCTCTGGCCTTTCCTCCTTCCCTCTACCCCTTCCTCCCCTCTGTTCTCCATTCCCCTCTCCCCTCTCCCTCCCCTCCCCTCCCTCCCTCTTCTCACTCTCTCTCTCTCTTCTCCCCTCTCTCTCATCTCTCTCTCTCTCTCTCTCTCACTCTCTCTCTTCTCTCTTCTCTCTCTCCTCTCTCTCTCCCTCCCTCTCCCTCTCACTCTCTCCCTCTCACTCTCTCCCTCCTCACTCTCTCCCTCTCACTCTCTCCCTCTCTCTCTCTTTCCTCACTCCCTCTCTCTCTCTTCCTCACTCCTCTCTCTTCCTCACTCCCTCTCTCTTCCTCACTCCCTCTCTCTCCCTCCCTCCCTCCTTCTCTCCTTCTCCATTC